ATTGGCATTACCAAATAAAGCCAGGTCATACTGTTATTGAGCCAGTTTAAAAAGTTAGTTTTTAAAGTGTAACATTTTAAGATGGTAAAAAGACATAAAATGATTTAATATATTTTAGACTACTAAGAAAGTCACTTCAAGGATTTTCTTAAAATTTTTAATGTTGTCTAAAAAGCTAGAAAAAAGGTAATTGGTAATAAACAGAAACATAAAAACAAATGTGTTCAGTATTTGACAGTATTGGATCAGTAAACCTTTACTGCAAAATGTTTCCATTAAAATGAGATCGTATTCTAAAAAGGGGAGGACAAACTAGAGCCCTTTGTCATCCCAAGTTTATATAATGATAAAAAGTCAGTGTTGACCATATATAAAATATATTTGCCTATGAAAATAAAAATTAAAAAGGACTGTAATTCTCAGTCCCATCCGGACTAGAAGCCATCAGCGTTCAGAATTCCTGTACTCCTCTTCCCCACCCCCCTTTTTCTAAGGACCCTTGGGGCCTTATTTCTCTTTTGAAATTTGTCTTCTCCATTCATCACCCCACTTGGGATGACTGCCAGCAGATTTTACAGGTTTTGTTTACAGTAAAAGAGAGAGAAAAAAAAAACCCTTTATGTTGTGGGATAAAAAGCAGTGTGCATTCCAAATAAAAACCTGTCCTCTGATCCCAAATGCCAGAACCATGTTTTCCCTTTGTCCTGCCCCAATGGGACAACCAGAGGTAAGAAGGCTCTTGTTCAGTATTGCCAGTTGTTCTCAGAAGCCTTTTAAGGGCTGCCAGAAAACCCACCAATTTGTCCAAGGTAACAAGGTGAGACAATTAGATGATGAGTCTCCCTCGGGGTTTCTGGAGAGATTGCTAGAGGCCTATTACATTTGTACACCTGTAGATCTGGTAGCACCTAAAAAGGCAAGGGCCATTAATAATACCTTTGTAACTGTCAGCACCTGATATTAAGCAAAAGTTGCAAAGAATTAAGAGACTTTTAAAAATGTCCCTCAGTTAGTTATTAGAGTTTTCTTAAAACTGACTCTTTCCTCCAGCTGGTGCAAGCCATTCAACAGATTCCAGTTCCGTGACTAAAAAGCAAATATAAAAATTTCTAGGAGCCATAGGATATTGCCTGCTTTAGATTACAGACTCACGAGACCAGGCTTTTCAGCAATTGAAATCAGCCTTAACAGAAGCTCCAGTTCCAGCTGTGTCAAAGTTGCAAAAACCTCTTTCCCTCTATGTTGATAAAAAACAAGGGATAGCAAAAGGAGTACTGACCCAGAGTTTAGGACCATGGCAAAAGCCTATTGCCTATCTTTCCAAGAGACTTGATAACGTGGCAGCCCAATGTCTGCCTTGCCTGCAGATGATTGCCTCGGTGGCCCTCCTGGTGAAAATGACCCAAAAGGTGACATTTGAACAAAAACTTCTAATTATCTCCTCTCATTCACTGGAGACTCTCATCAAAGCTTCACCGGACGGATGGCTGCCTATCAGGCATTACTTCTAGATCTGACTACCATCAGTTTCAAGGGGACAGTGTCTTTAAACCCAGATACTCAGCTGCCTGATGATGACCTCTCCTTGCCCCTCTGATCATTTCATGGGGTTTTGACCAGACTTGACAGATGAGCCACTGTCCGGAGTTCCATCATATTTCTCTGATGAAAGCAGTCACATATATCAAGGTAAGCAGGTCATGGGAGCCACTGTCACAGACTCTCAGATTCTATGGGAACAAATCTTAGAGCCAAAAACATCAGCCCAATGGGCTGAACTCATTGCCCTCACTGAGGCCCTCAAGTTGTCAGACTGATAGCAGATATGTATTTGTTACTGCCCATGTTCATGGGGCCTTTTATCAGGAATGAGGTTCACTGACTTAAGGGGGCCAAAAGATAAAAATGCTTCCCAAGTTTTGGATTTGTTAGCTGCCATTTGGATGCCAAGGAATATGGCTATTAAATAATCTAACAGATGCAGCTCCCCAAAAAGCAGCCATAAAATCAGTGGGGATTGAGACAATCCCGGCATTGCTACTGATTCCATCCACTCTGCCAGAGCCCTTTTGCACTCTAAAAGACTTACATTTGGCAGCTCAACTCCAAGCAAAGTCTGATATCCCTGGGGGCTGGTACTGTGAGATTCGACCCCCCTGCTACAACCCCCTCCCCAGAGCGGGGGAATGAAAGGGTTAACTCCCTAACTCCCCAGAGCGGGGAATGAAAGGGCTAACTCCCTAACTCCCCAGAGCGGGGGAATGAAAGGGTTAACTCCCTAACTCCCCAGAGCGGGGAATGAAAGGGCTAACTCCCTAACTCCCCAGAGCGGGGAATGAAAGGGCTAACTCTCTGACTCCCCAGAGCTATCAGAACAGAGCAGTAAAGAATGCTTCACTCCCTAAACCTTTCCCAGGAGATAATCAGAGCAGGGCCAAAGGGAATGTCTCTGCTAGTCATTAACCACCAGATGTTCTGTTCTCTGTAAAGATAGAGATAAGCAAAAGAATGTACTGTATAAACAGGACCAGGGGGCACCTGGCACTCTAAGGTCAACCCAAGACCCTCGGTCTCCATAGTTACTCAGCCCCAGACCCTCAAATCAGCATTAGCCAGGTCCTGCGCCGCTCAGAATTAACCAATGCGATTTGCTTCTGTAAACTTGCTTGCCTCCTGCGTGTATCTTTAAAAACCCTGCACAAATTCCCCTCGGGGCCCCTCTGCACACGTTTGCCTGAGGGACCCCATGCGCATGGAAATAAACTTTCTTTTCCTCAACAAGAGCTGAGTCCTTGGGGTCTCTTTCCCTGCGGCGTTGGCCCTAACATCGTGGAGGCGCCAGCGAGATTAGCACGTCTCACGGGAGGTGACCCCAACGGCTCTACGGGTGAGTACGACTGGTCGCTTTTCATACCACCGGTGTTTACGCCCCGAGCCATACGGCTCCGATCTAGGGGCAATTTTTGTTATCTGTTTCGTACTCTGTTCCCTGGTGACTGGGGGACGCCCCACACGGTTTCCGTGGTTCACCGTCTGCGATAGGGTCTCCCTATCGATCTGGGGGATTTTGATTCCCAATCTGTGGTCCGTCTGGGCCAATCTGGAGACACCCTTTGAGGTGACTCATCTGGGGGATTTCGATTCCCAGTCTGTGGTCCGCCCGGGCCAATCTGGAGACACCCTGTAAGGTGTCTCATTTGGAGTGAAACTGATGCGTATGCATGTGAATGAAGTGGCCGGCCTGATTGTTTTGTGTGTCGTGGGTGCTGTGTTAGGTTATTTGTTGTACCGCGCTTGCGTTAACCGCCCTGTGACAATAGAACGTCATGGGACAGTCGACCTCATCCCCATTGTCCCTCACCCTCGACCATTGGTCGGAGGTGCGGAAGAGGGCTCACGATCTCTCCTTGCAGGTCAAGAAGAGTAAGTGGCAGGATTTCTGCTCGACTGAGTGGCCTGCTTTCTCTGTGGGGTGGCCACCAGAGGGGACTTTTCATCTGCCCCTCATTCTAGCAGTTAAGGACGTCATCTTCCGCCCCGGACAAAGGGGGCACCCTGATCAAGTCGCTTACATCCTGGTATGGCAGGACCTCAGGGAGGAACCCCCATTATGGGTAAAATCCTTTCTTCTCCCTTCTGACTCATCTGTACCAAAGCTTTTAGCTCTGAAAGGACCTCCCACTTCGGCTCCGGTCCTGCCCGAGTCTCAGCCTGATCTACCCTTACTCGACTATGACCAGCCTCCTCCTTCCCAGCCGACTCAACCTCCTCCGTACCCACTCTCTCCTCCAGCCTCCTCGTCCGAATCGAGTGCTGCTTCTCCGTCAGCCCCCTCTTCACCTGAGCTAAATTCCTCTTCTCCTCCGGTACCCACGTCCCCTCTATATCCCCCACTCCCTGCGATGGCTTGCCCCGAGCCCACACCTCCGGGGCCCACGGGCCCAGCCCAGAACACTCGGAGCAAGCTACGGCTTGAGGATCCAGTCGTTGCCCTCCCTCTCCGTCCCTATGGGCCCATGATAGACGATGGGACAGATGGAGGGCAGATGCCCGCTTTACAGTACTGGCCTTTTTCTACCTCAGATCTCTATAACTGGAAAAACAATAACCCTCCTTTTTCTGATGATCCTTCTAAGCTAACAGGTCTAATGGATTCTGTTATGTTCTCCCACCAACCCACATGGGACGACTGTCAACAGCTCCTAGGGGTCCTGTTCACCACCGAGGAAAGAGACCGCATCCTCCTGGAAGCCCGGAAAGCTGTTCCCGGAGAGGATGGCAGACCCACCCAGAGACCAGACCGGATCGATGACTTCTTCCCCTTAAAGCGCCCCAACTGGGACCCCAACTCACCTGCTGGTAGGCAGCATCTTTCTATCTATCGCCAGACTCTAATGGCAGGTCTCCGGGCGGCCGCAAGGCGCCCCACTAATCTGGCCAAGGTAAGAGAAGTTACCCAAGGACCTACTGAGACTCCCTCAGTTTTTCTAGAACGCCTGATGGAAGCTTACCGGCGATATACGCCTTTTAACCCTGAGGAGGAAGGCCAAAAAGGCTCGATAGCTATGGCCTTTATAGGACAATCGGCCCCTGATATAAGACGTAAGCTCCAAAGGCTAGATGGTCTCCAAGACCTGACTCTGAGGGATCTTGTTAAGGAAGCTGAAAAGGTCTACTATAAGCGGGAGACAGAGGAAGAGAAAGAGTTAGCTAGGGACAAAAGACGAAACAAGGAATTAACTAAGATGTTGGCCACAGTTATTCAGGGAAAACCTGAGCCAGGAAAGGGAAAGCCCACTCGCCCTCCATTAGACCCTGATCAATGTGCATATTGTAAGGAAAAAGGACACCTGATCAAAGACTGTGAAAAGTTAAAAAAGAAACGGGCCAAAGAAGAACGAGAAAGACAGTCCTCACAGCGATCCCGAGCCCCCATGCTCACCCTAGATGAAGAAGACTAGGGACTTCGGGGCTCGGATCCCCTCCCCGAGCTCAGGGTAATGTTTAAAGTGGAGGGGACTCCCGTGGAATTCGAGGTCGATACGGGAGCTGTTTATTCGGCCTTACAAGCCCCCTTAGGGGCCCTTTCAACTAAGAAATCATTAGTTCAAGGGGCTAACGGGAGCAAATATCGCTCGTGGACCACTGAGCGCACAGTTGACTTAGGCAAGGGAAAAGTAAAACACTCCTTTCTGGTTATTCCCGAATGTCCTGCTCCCCTCCTGGGACGGGACTTATTAACCAAACTGGGGGCAAAGATTTCCTTTGAGCCCCAAGGACCTCAAGTGACATTCCGTAACCCAAAGGTTGGGCAACCTATGGTTACGGTGTTATCCCTAAAACTGGAAGATGAATATAGGCTCTACGACCACCAGGATCCCCAGCCTATCGCCCCAGCCTGGTTAACTGATTTTAAAGAATCCTGGGCCGAGACGGCTGGACTCGGGCTGGCAAGCCAGCAACCGCCTGTAGTGGTTACTTTAAAAACCACTGCCTCCCCTATTCGGGTCAAGCAATATCCCATTAATAGAGAAGCTCACCTAGGGATTAAGGTGCACATACAGAGACTTTTAGACCAAGGGGTATTAACTCCTTGTCGGTCTGCATGGAATACTCCGTTACTCCCGGTCAAAAAGCCCGGGACGAATGACTACAGACCGGTACAGGACCTAAGGGAGGTCAATAGCAGGGTAGAAGACATTCACCCCACCGTACCCAATCCCTATAATCTCCTCAGCGGGTTAAATCCGTCAAGGACTTGGTATACTGTTCTGGATTTAAAGGATGCCTTTTTCTGTTTGCCTTTACACAAAGATAGCCAGCCCTTATTTGCATTTGAATGGACGGACCCTGAGACTGGGTCCGCCGGACAACTAACCTGGACGCGCCTCCCACAGGGCTTCAAAAACAGCCCAACCATCTTTGATGAAGCCCTACATAAGGATTTAGCCCCCTTTCGGGCTCAACACCCAAGCCTCACCCTTCTTCAATATGTAGATGACTTGCTGCTGGCTGCGGACTCTGAGGGTGACTGCACAAGCGGAACTCAGGACCTTTTACGTGAGTTGGCTATCCTGGGGTATAGGGCATCAGCAAAAAAGGCTCAAATTTGTAAGCGAGAGGTAATTTTTCTGGGCTACTCCTTAAAAGGAGGACAAAGGTGGCTCACTGAGGCCAGAAAACAGACTGTGGTCCAGATTCCCCCTCCAAAGAGTCAAAAACAATTACGAGAGTTCCTGGGCACTGCGGGGTTCTGCCGGTTATGGATCCCCGGATTCGCAACTTTGGCAGCTCCCCTATATCCGTTACTGAAGGGGGGATCTCCCTTTATCTGGAAAAAAGATCACCAGCAGGCCTTTGATGCCATCAAGCGGGCTCTCCTGTCCGCTCCGGCCCTGGCTCTTCCTAATGTGGATAAGCCCTTTACTCTCTTCATGGAAGAAAAAAAAGGAATGGCGAGAGGAGTGCTGACCCAGGCCTTTGGGCCATGGAGGCGTCCGGTGGCTTACCTCTCAAAAAGACTGGACACTGTGGCAAGCGGGTGGCCACCCTGCCTAAAGGCCATCGCAGCAGCTGCCTTGCTCATTAAAGACGCTGACAAATTGACTTTGGGACAGAAAATAACAATCATTGCCCCGCACATGCTAGAAAGCATCATCCGCCAGCCTCCAGACAGGTGGCTCTCAAATGCCAGAGTTACTCATTATCAGAGCCTCTTGCTCAACAAGGACAAGATAACTTTTGGACCCCCGGTGACTCTCAACCCGGCGACTCTGCTGCCGGAAGAAGCTTCGGAACCCGTCCTCCATACCTGCCAGGACGTCTTGGCAGAAGAGGCCGGAGTACGACCGGACTTATTGGATTGCCCCCTACCCAATGCAGAGGTGACCTACTTCACTGACGGGAGTAGCTTTTTGATTCAAGGTAAGCGGTATGCGGGGGCGGCTGTGACTGATTATTCCAATGTTATATAGACAGCCAGACTAGAGGACGGGTCCTCGGCCCAAAAGGCCGAACTGATTGCTTTGACTAAGGCTCTGGAGCTCGCTAAAGGAAAGCGAGCGAACATTTACACGGATAGCCGATATGCTTTTGCAACGGCCCACATCCACGGGGCCATATACCGCCAGCGGGGGCTTCTGACCTCCGCAGGAAAAGAAATAAAACACAAACAGGAAATCCTCCAGTTGCTCGCTGCAGTTATGTTGCCCCGGAAGGTGGCGATAATACACTGTAACAGCCACCAGAAAGGGACTGATCCCGTCACAAGGGGAAACAACCTGGCCGATCAGGCAGCAAAATCTGCAGCCTTGGGAGACTCACAGATGTTGGTGACTGATGTCAAAGATTCTCCTCAAAAGGAGAAAGCTCAGATTAACCAAACCCCTGAAACACCTGATTTGACTGCTTACATACAACAGGCCCACCGGCTCACTCATTTGGGAGCTAAAAAGCTAAGCCTACTGGCCCAACGCCAAGACTTCCCAGGGGCATCCCCCACTGCCATACGTCAGGTCGCCAATCGGGTGGTGGCTAATTGTGAGGCATGTCAATTGACCAATGCCTACCCTGCCAAGCTGGCCCCCGGCAAAAGGCTACACGGCACCAGACCTGGACAATACTGGGAAGTGGACTTTACAGAAGTTAAGCCTGCCCGATGCGGACTAAAATATCTGCTAGTTTTTGTAGACACCTTTTCTGGATGGACTGAGGCTTTTCCTACCAAAAAGGAAACCGCTGCCGTGGTAACTAAAAAATTGATGGAAGAAATATTTCCCCGATTCGGATTGCCAAAGGTAATAGGGTCTGATAATGGACCGGCGTTTGTGGCTAAGGTAAGTCAGGGACTGGCCAACATATTGGGGATTGATTGGAAATTACATTGTGCTTATAGACCCCAAAGTTCAGGACAGGTAGAGAGAATGAATAGAACCATTAAGGAGACCCTCACTAAATTGGCTCATGAGACTGGCTTAAAAGATTGGACGATGCTCCTGCCGTATGCCCTTTTTCGCGCGCGAAACACCCCGTCTACCAAACCCCCTAACCTTACTCCCTTCGAAATCCTTTTTGGCACTCCACCCCCCATTCGAGATCTCACTCCCTTAACTGAGCATGCTGCCTTGTTGCCAACCTCCCTGTCTGACAGGCTCATCGCCCTTGACAACCTGCAGAGGGACGTGTGGACGCAGCTAGCCTCGGCCTATGCTCCCAGTGAGTTCCCCGCGCCACATCCGTACCAGGTGGGAGACTTTGTGTTCGTCCGGCGCCACCAACAAGAGACTCTACAGCCTCGCTGGAAAGGACCGTACCAGGTCCTATTGACTACTCCTACAGCGGTAAAGGTTGACGGAGTCGCCTCTTGGATCCACGCGTCACACCTAAAGCCTGCCTCGGCACCAGTGGACGGCTCCTGGGAACTCAAACGGTCTGATAACCCCCTGAAGCTAAAGTTGCGCCGAAGGACCCCCTGAGATTATTCAGAGTACTACCCTTATGTGTCCCTCTAAGATGACCCGTATGGGACCCCAGACTTTAACCCTCCGGGCTCTAATGGGATTACTTATATTAATAATCCCCACTGTAGCTAGCCCCCATCGCCCCTGGAAATGGTCGTTAATACGATGGGGGGACTCACGTGTGGGTAGCACCTGGGAAGGATCAGGAAGTCCATGGTTTGCGCCCACACCCTGTTGGTTCTTTCCCGGGCTCCAATGTCCCAAACAAAGTCATTTTTATCTTTGTCCCGCACCAACCGGGAGTAGATCATATTGTAATTCCCCAGGAGAATATTTTTGTGCTTATTGGGGCTGTGAAACCGCTGCAACAGGGTGGCAACCCGCCTTCCCCGATAAACACCTTAAAATGACATGGGGGCCGCCGGGATGCAGCCTAGATAACTACCCACCGGCCGGTCAGAGATCCTGTCAGGTTCTAAATATCACTGTCACCACTCCTGAGGACCCAGGTTGGCTGACAGGACGCACCTGGGGACTTCGAGTCTATGAACCAGGTAAAGACAGGGGAAGCCTTATTCTCATAAAAAAGGTTCCCCTGCAGGCCCCATTTGTGCCCATAGGCCCAAACTTTACTCTAAAGCCAAAATATAATCAGCCTACTATAGATCCTGTTACTACTGTTCAAACAACCATAGTAAGTCCCTCAGCCATAACAGTTTCTCAAGCTCCGCTACTCCAGACAGATCACGTACCTGTCCCTCAATATTCACATTCTAACCTACTCAGTTTGATTAAAGGAGCATACATGGCTTTAAATCATACCCGACCTGATCTCCCCCAATCCTGTTGGCTATGTCTAAGTCCTAATCCCCCGTATTATGAGGGAACCGCTCTAAATGACTCTTATACACTAACCCCCAACCCCGGCCAATGCGATTGGAATCAAGTATACCACACTCTCCCCCTTCCTGGCCTCGCTGGTCAAGGAACTTGTATAGGAGCAGTTGATAACTGGCCAACAAGCTTGCGACATCTTTGCCTCACACACACTAATTCCTTTCCCAAAGATCAGTACCTCGTCCCTCCTGCTGGAGCCTTTTGGCTATGTACCAATGGGCTCACTCCTTGTGTCTCCACTAACGTCCTCCTTGCAGACAGCAGCTCCTGCATCCTTATAGACCTTATGCCACGCATTAAATATCTCCCCCCTAACACGCTCCCCCTCATGGGAGGTCGATATAAACGAGAACCTGTCTCCCTGACCCTAGCAGTCCTATTGGGGATAGGTGTGGCGGGGGGAATAGGAACTGGCGCAGCAGCCCTCATTACTGGGCATCAGTCTCGCCAAGAGCTTCTTACAGTAGTAAACCAAGATTTACAGGCCTTAGAAACTTCTATAACTGCGTTACAACAATCTCTCTCGTCTCTATCTGAAGTAGTGTTACAGAACAGAAGAGGCTTAGATCTTCTATTTTTAAAAGAAGGCGGTCTCTGCGCTGCACTTAGAGAAGAATGTTGTTTCTACACTGATCATACTGGGATTGTAAAAGACGCAATGGAAAAGCTGAGAGAGAGAATCAAATCTCGAGAGCCCCCTTCAAGTGAAGCCAAAATGTTTTCCTTCTGGGAATCAATCCTGCCCTATGTTCTCCCTTTACTGGGACCCCTGGCCGGATTCATTATAGTCATGGCTATAGCCCCTTGCCTCATTAACCGAGTAACCCAATTTGTGAGGGCTCAGATCTCTCAGGTAAAAGTTATGGTGCTACGTCAACAATATGACCCCTTACCTATACAGGACCTTTAGGATTAAAAGTCATTGGGAAAAAAATAAAAGGGGGGAATGTGAGAGTCGACCCCCCTGCTACAACCCCCTCCCCAGAGCGGGGGAATGAAAGGGTTAACTCCCTAACTCCCCAGAGCGGGGAATGAAAGGGCTAACTCCCTAACTCCCCAGAGCGGGGGAATGAAAGGGTTAACTCCCTAACTCCCCAGAGCGGGGAATGAAAGGGCTAACTCCCTAACTCCCCAGAGCGGGGAATGAAAGGGCTAACTCTCTGACTCCCCAGAGCTATCAGAACAGAGCAGTAAAGAATGCTTCACTCCCTAAACCTTTCCCAGGAGATAATCAGAGCAGGGCCAAAGGGAATGTCTCTGCTAGTCATTAACCACCAGATGTTCTGTTCTCTGTAAAGATAGAGATAAGCAAAAGAATGTACTGTATAAACAGGACCAGGGGGCACCTGGCACTCTAAGGTCAACCCAAGACCCTCGGTCTCCATAGTTACTCAGCCCCAGACCCTCAAATCAGCATTAGCCAGGTCCTGCGCCGCTCAGAATTAACCAATGCGATTTGCTTCTGTAAACTTGCTTGCCTCCTGCGTGTATCTTTAAAAACCCTGCACAAATTCCCCTCGGGGCCCCTCTGCACACGTTTGCCTGAGGGACCCCATGCGCATGGAAATAAACTTTCTTTTCCTCAACAAGAGCTGAGTCCTTGGGGTCTCTTTCCCTGCGGCGTTGGCCCTAACAGTACCAACTGCCTCATACTCAAGTCCTCCTCTGCGAGGCCTTGAGATAAAAACTCATCCAACAAGCTCATCAGTCCACTCACATGGGAGGCTCAAAACTCGCTGCCCTTTTTGAGATCATTTCTTTATCCCTCAGTTATCGAAGCTTACTCAGTCTGTGACCCTTAGAGGCCCTCAGTGCCAGTTGGTAAATCCTAAGCAACCACAACAAATGAAAACTACTTGAAATCATGGGACTATGCCTGAAAAACATTGAGAATCAGAGTTTACAAAAATAAAAATACCTGGACTTTAAGGGAATGAGTACTGGTAGGTAGCTTTTCCTAATAAGTCTTGAGTCAGCCCTGATAGCAGGTTTCCCAATTTGTCCTCCCTTTATCCATGGGGTCTGACAATGGCCCAGGTTTTAGAGCCCAGATAACTGAAAAACTAACCTAAGCTTTGCAGATTGATTAAAAACTCCATTGTGCTTACCGGCCTTAAAGTTGAGGACAAATAAAAAGGATAAACCAGCCTTTAAAAATGGTAGTAACTAAGATGACATTCAAAACTGGTGAGAACTGGGTGAGTCTCCTTCCTTTTTCCCTCTTGCATGAACAATGTACCCCCTATGTTACAGTTGTTTCCTCTTTAATGTTCTATGTGGGAGAACTCCTCCTCTTATTCCTAAGATTTCTGAAAAAAAATTAGCTGATCTGGCTAATCAAGATCTTCCTAAGTTCCTCCAGGCCCTTCAACTAGCTCTGACTTCCACCCATCAGTTATTCCGAGAACAACAACCTCTGCCTACAGCCCATCTTAAGGATAAACGTCCTGCCATGAAACCTAGGACACTACTCATCAAGAGACATCACCGTGAGTCCCTCAAACCATGGTGAGAAGACCCTTACACAGTGGTCCTCAGCACTCTGACTGCCTTCAAAGTCACAAAAAAGCCTGCCTCAATTCATCATTGCCACCTCAAGCCAGTTCTGGCCTCTGACAACAATCAACCTACAGATAAGTGGACTGTTGTTCCCTCCAAGGATTCTTTAAAGCTTAAGATTGCCAAATGTATCTGATAATCTTGTTCTTAGGTGTTTTTCCTTATGGAGACCCCAAGGAGATACCTTGTAACCCACTGTTTAAAACTTACAATTACTGACTATTTCACTGGTAAATTATTGGAAGCCAATGCTACTGTCTATAAGATAATTAAGATAAATTTATGTTCCCTATTAGATAACATCCCAGCAAAAATTAGAAAAAAAATTATTGTTGGGTTTGCATGTCATGCTGCCTGATTGGTTGCTAATAGTGACTTACAGGGACCTATGTATTCAAAAAAAATTACAGTCCACTCGCTGGTATCTTTGTCCCCCAAAGCAATAGCCAGTCTCTGATTAAAGGTGTTCACAATCTGTAGAGAAGAAATATTTTTGTAGACATTGGGGTTATAAATTTGTATCTCCTTGCCAGGGAAATAAATGGGGTCTTTAACTTTTTCCTCACTTTTGAGACCCAGTCTTCTGTTCTCCTCCACTAGACTTCCTGCTCCTGAGACCTTTGTGCCCTCTGCGATTTCTGTGACATCTCTAGCCCCTTCTTGCCTCTGGACATTGCTTATGGCAAATCAACTTTTAATTCCTGTACAGATGACAACTTTGTTGGTGGGATGCTAAGCCCCTGCTCACACTGGACAATGTACAGGGTGCTCCAGGAATCTGTGTTTACTCTGCCTCCTACTCCTTGCACACTTCCCCTAATGCTGCACTCTATAATCCTACCTCTTCAGCTTTGATTTATACTTTTTCCTGTCCTGCTAATCAACACCTTGTTGCTCCCAATGGAGCCTGGTTTGCCTGTAGTTCTAATATAACTCCTTGTTCCATGCATCACCTGTTTACCCAGTGCCCTGAGCTTTACATATTAGTCCGTATCTTTCCCCAAGTGTATTGGTACCCTAGAGATAATGGTAAGAGTCACTTGTTCCCTAGCTTTGACTTAAAGAGTCCAGTAAGAGCAAAAAAAAATCCTGCCTTATTACCTGTATTACTAAAAATTGAGATAACAAGGTCAATAGGTAAGAGTGTCCAGCCTAATAGTCAAAAGACCAAAATTATAGACACTTACATGTACTCATATACCAAGATTTAGCAGCCCTTAGTGACTCTGTCTCCAAATTAGACGATTCTTTAAGTTCACTGACTGAGATGGTCTTACAAAACTGGCGGGGTCTAGATCTCCTGTTCCTAAAGGAAGGAGGCTTTTGTCTGACATTAGGAAAATATTGTTGTTTGTATGCCAATCATTCTGGGGTTATCAGACAAAGTATGGCAAGCCTTAAAGGGCAGCAACAGGATCAAGAACAAGCCAGACAAACTGAACAGAATTGGTTTGAGGGATGGTTTTCTCTATCTCCCTGGTTGACAACGTTAATCATAGCAGCCTCCAGACCTCTGTTAATCTTACTTACTTGTTTAGCAATTGGACCTTGCACATAAACAGATTAGTAATGTTATACTAAGATGCTAAAAATTAAAATAATTGATTAAAAGATAATTAACAAAAATAGTTATTTAAACATATAGTTATTAGTATATTGTCATTCTATACTGAGCTCAATACCCTAGTAACCAAACACCAACCACATACTTATAAATTAACTGACCACGTGGTTCAGCTGTGCTGTAATGCGTCATCCCCCCACCTTAGTGACCTGTGT